TCAGAATGTTTTAAAGTGTTGCAATTGTAATGTATTTTAGTGTGTGATATAACAAGCTGTTGACAAACTGTGATTGTTTTTTAGATTAATGAAAACATTTATTTATTTTTTTTTTACTACCTGTTATTTTAGTGAAACTGATGAGGGTGGAAAACACCGAAACGTTTTTTAATTGATAAATAGACATTAAATGACTGAAGCCCAGGAATTGATTTTGATTTCTATAAACAATAAATTCTAGTCTTTTCCCGAACATGATTGTCCTGACTCATCACCTGTAATCCCAAGAGATTCAAACGATTTTAATATACTTTTTAATGTTTGTAATTTGTATTTCAGTATGTATATTTTAACAGTGCTCTTCTTTTAAACTAATGACTACTGTGAATGTATATTTTAGACAAACTGATGATGGTGGAGTACTGAAACGTATTTGTAACATTTTAAATGATAAACAATAAAATTGACTGGAACACAGGAAGTTCTTTTGAATTAAGTTGAAATACAGTCAGGAAAATATACATAATTAATTGTAATTTAAAATCTTACAATAAAACAAATTACAAATGAGTAAAACTAATAAAAACTTAACCAAAGTAACTTTGATCATCCCGTTCTAAATAAAAACTAAAAACATAGAGTAATTCCGGGAGAGATGAACCACCTTTTTTGATTCGACTCTATCTTCACAAAAAATAGCTTTATTGACGTAAAAAAAATGTTGTCGCAAACATTTTAACTAGCTGCAATCAGAACTGTAACTAAAGACTAAAAACTCGGACACATTTGCTGACAAAAAAATAAAATAAAAAACCGTTATGTGGTCCAACTAACCCGAAATCTGCGGGATAGTTGAACCACCAATTTGGGACAGTTGGACCACAGGGAGAGATGAACCGTAACAAAGGATAAGTAACAAAATTAAACTTAATTAATAAGTTTTTTTGCGACATTTATTGCACATATTTTCAAAGTTTGTACACGACTCATGAAGCCACCTTGTGCACGACTCATGAAACACCTTCAGCAACTCTTATGCTAAGATCTGAATGACGGCTTAGGAAAATATGTAGCTAGTCGTATTCTGCCATTTTTGTGATTGCGCTAAAACGATGCTTCAACGGTAACTGTTCAGCAACAGCAAACGTTATATGTCGCATATCCTTCCGTGTTGGGGCAAAACCAAATTTTTGCAGCTTTTTTACATGTGCTACTATCGTCGCTTCATTTTCTTCTCCTAAAGTAGACGAAGAACTCAATGAGCCAG